CGTAAGATGCGATCTTGGGGCACAACTAACAAGTCCTTTCCTCTCGTGTGAAGGAGAAGGAACCCGTCGAAAATATGATAGTGGCTAGCCGGCGGGTGATCCGATGAAAGCTCCGCCTAAAGCGTAGAGTAAGTCGGATCGGACTTGTAGCCTTTGACGAAATGCGATTGCAGATCGTCATCGAGGTGGAATGGCGTGGTCACAATGGCACAAAAGTCGGGCCGTCGTGAGAGGGCGTCCACAGCTCGATTGGCGGGACCGGGAATGTGGCACGGGTCAAAGTCGAACTGGTCGATGTAATACATCCATCGACCGATCGTGCTAGTGACCGTATCCTGCGTTTTGTAAAAGGTCAACGGATTGTTGTCCGTATTCCATTTAAAACGCCGACGACCGAGAAGAAAGTGGCGCCACCGTTTGAGAACGGTGACGAACGCGAGTAGCTCTTTCTTTCTAGCGTCATCGAGAGTGTTTACGAGAGGCACCTTTTGGGAGAAGTACTCGACCGGATGCCAACCGTCCTCGTGACACTGTTCCAACACCGCACCAATACCTTACCCGAAGCGTCCGTAGTCACTTGGGTGGGAAGGGTGGGGTCATATATACGGAGGGCAGGTGCAACTTGCATTGCTGCCTTCAACGTAGCGAACGTGTCACGGGCTGCGTCGTCGAACTCGAAGGGCACCTTCGGGGACTGAAGTCTCGACAAAGGAGCGGCCACTTTCGAGAATGACTCGACAAATCGCTGATAGTATCCAGCCAAACCCATGAAAGAGCATACATCCGTCGTACAACGGGGTTCCGCCCAATCCACGATGGCTTGGATCTTGTCCGCTAAGGGACGAATGCCTTTCGGCGTGACAAAATGACCCAAGTACTCAAGCTCTTGCTTGGCGAATTCGCACTTGTCGAGATTCGCTTTGTACTTGGCTAGTCGCAAACGATCCAGAACAACGCGAAGGTGTACGATGTGCTCGTCCAATGTCCTACTGTAAACCAAGATGTCATCAAGGTAGATGAGGACGCTGCGATCGAGCAAGTCGCGAAACTCGGTCGTCATTGCTGCTTGGAAAGTCGCGGGGGCATTGGTGAGGCCAAAAGGCATGACAACCCACTCAAAATGCCCGTACCGCGTCTTGAACGCGGTCTTGTACTGGTCTTGAGGCTGGATTTCAATCTGGTGGTAACCTGACTTTAAGTCCAACTTTGAGAAGTACGTCGCGCCGCCTAACCGCTCAAGAAGATCATCAATCCGAGGGAGAGGGCCGACGTTCTTTACGGTTTGTGTGTTAAGTTTCCGATAATCGATGCATAACCGTAGATCTTTGTTCTTCTTCCGGACGAAGAGAACAGGKGCACCGTATGGCGAGCAACTAGAGCGAATCCAGCCCTTCTCGAGAAGGTCATCGAGTTGTGCGCGAAGCACCTCGAGTTCCTCTTCGCTCATGCGGTAGATACATCCACGCGGAGGGACGGCACCAACCTCGAGAGTGATCCCGTGACGTATGGGCCGATCCGGAACCGTTCCGGTGGGAGCCTCGAAGACGCCTCTATATTCGTCCAAGAGGTGAGAAATGCGTGGGTCCGGCGGTGACGCGGCTGATTCGTCCGGCGAGGGGAGAGCATGCAAGAATACAAGGCCCATCTCCTCGACGTCATTCCGAGCAATGGCGTCGCGAATTCTCGCAACGGAAACCACGTGGCAAGCAATCGAAGTGTGAGGGGTCGCGACCGTACATGGGACTAACACTCCGTTCCGATCACGGATGTGAACGGTTCGGTCATGAAAGTTCACCGGATGATGCGCTACGCAACCAAGACATGCCTAGAATCATGTCGAACTTGGTGTCGAGGATGTCAAAAGACACCGGCTTGCACGCAAGTGGCGCAAAGTATACCGGAACGTCGTCGACGCATTGGTCAATTGACTTTTGCGTGCGGCCGTCCGCGAGTGTGACTTGCGTGGGTTGCGTCTTTCTTCGAACGCGCGGGCCATAAAGGCTTGGCTCATAAAGTTGCGAGACGCTCCGCAATCAATCAAGGCACTACAGGTTGCCTTTCCGATTTGAATGCGGATATAGAGCAAAGGCGCGTCGGTTTCGGCGTACCTTTGGGTGGCGTACTCGCGGTCAATCTTCGCAAGATAGGAGCGGAGATCGACAACCGCTACTCCGTCGTCCATCAACGGAGCTGGTACTGTAGTGTGCAAATAGGAGCGTAGAGTTGCCATCAAGGCGTTGCAATGCGGCCTTGGCAAGGTTCCGGTCGAGGGTAGAGGCATCCAAGCAAAGTCCTCTCTCGTGAGCGGGTCAAGCTCCTCAAGTCTTGACCACGCCGTCGAGTCATCGGAAGTCAGTGGCGAGCTGGCCGGATCTCTTGTCGACGGTGTACAGGCTGCGCATACGCTAGCTAAATGCACGTGGCTCGGCTGGTCTAATGGTGGTACCAGCTGGGCGGCATAATCCTCGTACGTAGCACGAGAATCAGCGACTAACGCATGCTCCCCGGTAGTGACATCGATTGCTAGCAAGGCAACCGGGTCCGGCGGAGTGAGGAGAGATGTCGCCCCTCTCCTTGCGTAACTCAGTTTCCCGAGTTAGCTGGACGGGGTACGCGTGCCTTGCCCTTTTCGGGGCATTGTGCGGTCACATGAGTGACACCATTGCACCATAGGCAATATCCGTACCATTGACGCAGGTCATATACTTCCTTGGTTATCTTGTATGACGTAAATGGTTGCTGCCCAGTTCTCGTCGATGTCGTCTCTTGTGTCGCCTTGGGTTTCCGGACCCTCTTAGGACGCTTCGGCGGGAGCGCTGCTACAATTCCTCCATCACTCGAGGATGCTGCTGCAGCGTGGAGATCGTCTGTTTCTTCAGAAATCACGACATTGTTATGTGTCGGGCGTTGATAGCCCTGCTTAGCCACATAATGCGGCTGGGATTGTTTCTCGTTAGCGGCCTTGTCGTCCGTTTGGATGACTAGGTTTGCGCGATCCAGGATAGCCTGGAACGAGGTATAGTCGTACTCGTTACCGAGTGCCGACCGCAATCCTGCGCATGATCGCGAGAAGAACTCGGATCGTTGATTAGGAAAAGTCAAATCGAAGCCAGGCGTGGTCACTATCTTCTGCCACTTGGTTGTCCTGTCTCGAGTTGGCATACTTCCTTGAGAGCAGGTGTACACCTCGTTCATGGCCGCTTTCACGACGTTGCGGACCATGAACCGGGTGAACCATAGCTTCTCGAAATCCTTCCACGTAATGTGCGTGTGAAGTTCGGCGATGGTGCATGTGTGGGTAGCCGCCAGATGGTTCATCCATGCCTGCGCTCCTCCAATCAGCTGTAAGTATAACGCCTTCATCAGATAGTCGTCCGGGACAGTGCGGCATGATGCTTCCGTGAGGAAACGTTGCCACCATGCCAAAGCGTCCGTCTTGTTATGGTCGTCGAACTTGCTGATGTCGAAGTGTGGCATCTTGTAGTTCTTCGTAGTGGCGTCTGGTTTCGTCTGCAGCTTGGTGATGTCCGTCTTGATGGCGGCCACCAAGCTACTGATCGTGTCCGGCCCATTGAAAACACCTATGTCGCCGATGAGATTGACGACATGATCGATGCGCCCATTGAGCTGCTTCGTTGTGTCTGTCATATCTGGCGTGCAGCCTGGCGCTGCTTGTGGAGGCCTTGCCTCCAAGGTAGCAATGCGTGCGTCCAGCTGTTTCAACTGGTTGTCCGCGACCTTGACAGCTGCTGCAAGTATCTTCACGTTGTGGCTCAGATCGTGCTGCAGCTGCAGTGTGGACCGGGAATGCAGCTCCCCCATGGAGCTGTTCCAAATGACGGCGCGCATTGTATGGGAGTAGAATATCTGCCAGGTCGTGCCTCTCTTGCTGTACTGTTGTCGGCTCGCTGCCGGGTGCCGGGACATAACGCATCCCGTTGAGCACCGCTGTCCATTGTGCTTGATTAGCACTTACAAGATCAGCGCTGCTGGCGTTGAGCTGATCGATCGCCAAGCGGTCTGCCTCGGCTTGACGCCGGGTTTGTGCTGCAGCTTCCTCTGCTAGCCATAGTCTTTCGGCTGCAGCAGCCTCTTGCTGTTCCTTGACCTGGGTGAGTGTGGCTGTATAGTCCTGCATTCTCTGAATGAAGTCCGGGAGGGGCTCATTCGACCCTCGCACCGGACAGACCGGTAAGGGTTCGACATTACTAGCTGTCGAACCCTCGGATGATGATCCGCTGTGTGGCGTGTTCGCCATCTGAGTACTGGTCTGTGGCGGTTGTGGAACTGGAGGTTGTTGTCGCTGTTGGTGATCGGCGATCCTCTTGCTGCGTCGTGGCTGCTGTTCGGAGGCTGGCCCTGCTGGCATCAGAAACTGTTGCTGAAGACTGGCTCGTCCGAAGGATCGCAGAACAGTGTGAGGGAGAGAGTGGGCACAGGGGTAGAACAGATCAAGCAGTATTCATACAGTCCCTGTCCCACGGATGGACTAAGACACCTAATCAAAACAGAAAAAAATAAATTTTCCCGTAAATAATTCCAAAAATTCGTAATAAAAAGAATTAATAACGAATGATTTAATCAATAAAATTAATTAATGATTAATACGAAAAAATAACCAAAAAAACAAATGTTTATTGCAGATTCGGGGTCCTCTCGCCGAGCGCAGAACGACCCTGGTTTCAAAAAAACAATAAAAAAAATTCTGGCCGGTTTTTTGGCCCGCCCGGTTTACCATGGGGGGCACCCAGGGCCCAACCGGCCGGGCGGCGTCCTCACTAAGCCCCAGAGACAAATGCAGTAACATTATGACAAGCTATGCCACACTATGACAAGCATGCAATACGTAACAGGCCAAAGAACAACGAGTGCGTTATGCGAGCCATTGTTACCATGTAATCATGCAATAGGGCAAAGAATGACAGGTGGGATCTGTGATGCAGCCACCAGAAGGTTTCTTTATCTTGCAGACATATTCCCTTCAATTTTCCTTGAACGGTGGTGGTGAATGCCTGCATCAGGACACAGCTGGATCAGCAGCAATCCAAATGGTATAACCTCAAGCAATTGCACCTTTCTCCTGTTAGCCAATCCCCCATACGGGATCAAAATCTGGACATTGTAGCTTCTCAAGAAGTTTGCATGCATCCAAAACTACTCTCCACTGTACTGTTCAATGACTCTCTGCAGGACAAAGGAGGCTCATTATTCTCAAGCAAAACGAGAAAAACTGACCTATGTGTCAGATCACGGCGTGGGGACTCCTTCGTTGCACTCCTGTCATCACGTTTTGGTGGTGAATCCTTCCTATCACGTGCTCCTCTTGGAGGGCTCTCCCTCTTCCGACGCTCATCATCTCTCCTATCCCTTGCATCCCGGTGATCTCTATGAGTGTCCCGACGCCTGTCATCATCTCTTCTTCGCTCATCAGCATCTCTGTCTCTCCCTGTGTCTCTCCCTGTGTCTCTCCCTGTGTCTCTTCCTGTGTCTCTCCTTGAGTCTCTCCCTGAGTCTCTCCCTGAGTCTCTCCCTGCATCTCTCCCTGTTTCTCTCCCGGTGTCTCTCCCTGTGTCTCTCCCTGTGTCTCTCCTTGTGCTTCGATCATCCCTGCGGTCATCATGACGTGAGAGCAAGTTTGACCGGCTTGTACTTTCCTGGGCCCTGCTGCTTCCATGAGATTGGTCTTTGTTTCCTGCACTCCGATTAGCTGAGTAGTCTCTACCAGGTGGCAACGCGACACCACCATATCCGCTCTGCTGAGTACCAGATCCGTATTGCTGGCCTTGTGGAACACCACTATGAGTACCACCCCCATAGGCACGCCCTCCTGCTGGGCTGCTATAAGCACCTCCTTGTGCCTTCTGGCTCCCATACGCGGCTCCACTCACAACAGGGACGGAGCGCCCTGCTCCTGAAGCTCCATATGCCAGCTGTGTGCCATATGCCTGACCAGCCCCTCGACCACAGTCTGACTGCCCTCGTCCACCAGCAGCATATACACTACTGACAAACTGCCCTGCAGCTGCTTGACCACCTCGGCCTTCACTGTATTCAGAGGATCCCCGACTGCTCACTCCCGCAGCCATGCCAGCAGCGCCACGGCCAGAGTAATCGCTTTGTGCCCTACACGGGTTCCGATGGTGAGGAATACGAGAGAGAACCATTTAGTGTCTGGGCATCATGGTCCCAGGCATAGCACTGCCAAACGGCTGCAAAACTCGTAAATAGTAAACATGCATCGTTAGCCTGGGATAGCCTTCAGGGAGCCTGGGCAGCATCTGGCTGCCAGGAATGCCCACACAGGCTAGGTCCTGGCAGGGTCCCGGGCCACCCCAGGAAAAAAAAACAAATAAGGCGTTCTGGAGAAAAAGTATGCTGACTAGAGTTGCAATACAAACAACTTTTGGCTGAGAGTCACCTTAGAATTCCTTCTCAAAGATGAAAAAAAGGAATAAAAAATGTAACTATGGCACACCACTGTACACCCCTTTAAACCTCATCAACACCTCCCTCGTCTGCCTTCCTTATTCCCTCCCCCCCCCCCCCACACACACACACAACTGACGACACTGAAAAACAAAAACGACCCGGATTTTGGCTGCTTTCAGTGGGTTCATAAACGGGGGRGGGGGGGGGGGGGATCCCAGACTTTTCACATGCGCGGGTTGCCCCAAGCAAGTTGCTCGGTCGCACGCTGGCGTCTTAGGTAGCCCAGTTGTTAGCATTTGACAATCATTCTAGTCTCACATATATTCATTTGCACCATTGAAATTTACTCAGAGATGGGAAGAAGGAAAATTTCAGTTCCCACATATTGGTTCATTACCTTCCAGCGATATCAGCACCCGTCTGTCGCTGCTGCTGCATGGCAGCTGCTAAAGCCTGTGCATCCTGCATTGCCTGCTGCTGCCTGACGAGCTGCGACTGTTGTGAGCCAGTCTGCATGAAGAAAACATAGGGTACACGTGCATTAGCTTATCAGAGGAATAATACCACTGGCAACATAACAACTGACCTTAATTCATGCGAGTTTGCCGCTTTCCACAATCACTACCAGTCACTTCCCACACGCGGTCAAATGATGGGAACACAAGAAAAGAAAAACAAATGCAAGCCAAGAAAAGATGAGAAGAAGAAAAAAGTTCAAAAAAGTTAAAAAAACGTGAAAAGCCAGAAATAAAATGGAAGGTTGACACTTATGCAAAGCGCAGGTCATCTACCATCTGCACCGTCACACAGTGAATACCCATCCCAACTGGAACAGGGAAAATGTGCATTCACTGTGGATGACAGGGTAAAGCCAAGAGGTGTGCACACACAGCACCACTCAGCAGGGACGTCCAATCACCCTGTCTTTGAAAAGCCACTCCGACCCACTCGTTTTTCCTTGTTCTTTCTTTATGATCCCAAAATCTGTGCTGTTCTGCAGGTAAATTGGGTCAGTCTACTGGCCTTCCTAGACCCAATGGCACCTGAGAGTCCTGACCACGTGTCAGTCTGGAAAGGCAGGGACAGGTGCACAACTTGGGCAATTTGAAAACAGCTTGGAACATCGGAGCCTCTTTTTGGCAAGGCAAAATCCCCCTGTGCGCAAAGCTTCGCCGAAATGCCAGTCTGGTGCTTTTTCTTTTCTTTTAGCTGGTGCTACCAGCCATTTTGGTCTGGTAGCCCCAAGCCTTGGAAATTGTCGGATTGGCTCAATTTTCAATTCTCAAATTTGCTTGCGCAATGTACTTACTGGCGGTTTAAACAACGCAGAAACCTGAGGCAATAAGAAGTGGCAGTCGAGATTGAGCCAAGCACACCCGTGAGTTAACTGCGTGTCAGAAGCATCCAGAGAGTATCACATGTCATGGAATCGTCCACGAGGAGCAAGCTCCAAACTCCAAAGCATCTGTCAATGGTGAATTACTAGCTATTACACCGGGAAATAAGAGAATGGTGGAATTAGTAGACCGCATTGTTGATTGGTTGGGACAGCTGTGTGTCATGAGCAACAAGATCTTTTTACTTCTATTTTTTTAATGGCAACATCAAGCAGACTTTCTTCTCTCGTGTTGTGAGAAGAGCACAGGAACAAGATTTCCAGCAGTGCAGGAGCAAGAAATATCAAACTACCGACGGGTCTAGCTCAGTTGGTACACCTATTGACTGCTGATATACCGCCCTGCTTGAATCCAGATGGAACTAGATGAATGAAATAAAATAAATCTGAATAACCTGGGGCTGGTCAGTTCGATGATGATATCTCAAGGTGATCGCCTTTTCTTTGAAAAACAAGGAGATATCCAGACTTCACAGCCTGCTCATGATCACTTGGGAGAGACATGCGCTGCACCACATCAACACCATGGCACTTCACGTTCCAAGAGCAAAAGCCTGTGCACTTCTTCCCCCCTTCCACACCCCCTGCCTCCTCATTCACATGTCCTTTGTGCCTCGAAAGCAACATCAACTTTGCTTATCTTTTCTGGGAACCAGGTTTGTGTCAATCCGAGGAAAGGGTGGACTCGAGCAATCAACACAGATCACCAAGAATCAAAAATACCTGCTGGGCGTCCTGATCTTACACGAGAATGGAGACCATGAATGAGGAGTCCGGTCAAAACCAAGGCCACGAATGCCAACGTATTAATCACCTCCACACAAATGAAACACCCCCATCTATCCAAAAACAAATTGAAAACATATTGGATGCATATTGACAGGTGAATACTGCAGAGGAGCAACCACTGCCCAACAGCAAAGGTGCCACAGCACATCAACATATCACAGAGCATCGACAAAATAAAGCATTTCTGCTACCAGAGTTGCTGTTGCATACTGTAACGTGCAGACCAGAACAAGAACCGACCTCTTCAATACAAAGTACAAGATAACACAGCGGAAGACTTAGATACGAATGATCCGAACAATTAATATTGCAATGCAGCTCTGAACACACATCATCATCATCGTTATCTGGTGTGAAGGGGGTCTGGCGCTTCACACAAGAAGACTGCGCCAGCCCCAACCATACACAGACGAAGAAGGAGGGGTTAGACGAAAGAGGAGGGAAGATGGGAATGTCGTCAACACCAAGTCTCGGTACAGGCCCAAATAGTCCCTCGTCGAAATGTCTGAATCCCAATGTCCCGTCTGGATCCAATGTCGTCAAGTCTCAAGTCACAACTCTTTCTCTCTCTGTCGTAGTCTGAGAAGTCAGGTGGCGAGAGGGTGAGAAGAGATGGTGGACTTAGAAGAGGAAGAAGGAGAACTCTCTCTCTCTCGGTGTCCAGTACTAACCTGTGAAGTTGGCGCCTTGATGCAGGTACCACGAAGATGGAGCTGGAGCGATGGCGCCACAGGTAAGTCCCACTGGCCTCCGCCAGTATCTCTCCCACTCTACGATCTACCACCTACCATAGCGCCCAGCGCTGAAGACTACCACTAAGGCTATGGCGCCCAGCGCCGAAGACTACAGCTAGCGCTATCTACACCTAGCGCTGAAGACTACTGCAGCGCTCCTCCTGAGTGCTGCGGCCGAATCCTGAAGACTACTCGTGCCTACTGGAGACTACCTACCCGTGAAGTGCCTAGGACAGTCCTATGTACTACCGGGGTGCCTCCTGACTGCTGGCGAGCAGTCCAGGAGGCTGCTCTTGCCAATGCCGATCGGAGGCAGGGGCTGCAGCTGCAGCTCCTGCTCGAGTTCGTGAGGAACAGGCTATTTCTGGCCTGTTCCGCATCCCTGTTTCCGTGCCT